CACACAATCCAATTGCCCACAAACCAAATAATCATACAAAGCCCACTTATGGCCTAATTTTCCAAATTTAGGCCCAACCCTTGCATGGGCCTTACCCTAAAGCCCAATAACTTTTTGTTGATCCAAAACATATGCCCACATTTGTTCCAACAAAACCCCAAGCAAATCAAGCCCAAACGATAACCCAGACCTAAAAGACACCACAATGCCCAAAACCATAACCCTAGACCCAACAATGCAAGCCCAAACAAGAGTCCAAGACTCTAAAATTCCTCTTTCCAATATGCCCAATACACAAATCCCAAACCCAAGACCAAAGCCTAAAACATGAACAAGCCAAAAAGTCCACACCTGAACGTAAGCGGGGCGTTCCCCTAGGTACGCTCAGCGTACTCGATGATCACGGACGGGGACTCAAACCAGTACGCGGGGCGTACTTGCATTTATGCGGGGCGTAAGTTCAACTTTTCCAAAACTCGATCCTGACTTAATTCTTTAAGTCCTTTTCATCCAAACCTTAGAAAACCTTTAATATAAGCTCTTAATGCATAAAGTCGGCACCATTATGCATTTTCATGACTCAATGGGACCCAACAACCATCTTAATTCATTAAGACCCATTCTGATTCAACTAGAATATGCATAGACCATTCTTAAACATCAAGCAAGCATTTTTATGAACTAACAACATCAGAAGAGGCAAGATCTATCACTTCAAGCTCCTGGAGTGGCTGAAACTCACAAGGAGAACTTAATACACCATAAAAGCCCTTAATCTTACCCTAAACTCAAACTAGCATAAGAAGAAGTCAAGATAAGAACTTTTTACCTCCTGAAGCTTCCTAAGAGTGTGAATATTTTGGATCTATAACCCCCAGGGCTACACCAAGCTTGATCACCAAGACCCACTTCCTTGAAATAACACTAAGAACCCTTCAAAAATCACCTCCAAGTTCAAGAATGCACCACCAAGGAGATTAGGGTTCGGAATGAGGCTCTAAGATCAATGGAGGCTGAGAAATGAGAGAACCTTGACCTTATAATGGTGTTTAAATAGTCCCTAAACCCCAAAAATTAGGGTTTGGCACTCTGCTCATTACGTGGGCGTACCAACCCAGGCACGCGTAATCCCTCCTTGGATGCCTGGGACCGATTTGCCAACTATTTTCCATTAGGGGCCAAATCCTTTCTTCCCTAAGGTCCTAACCCTCCTGACAACTGAAGATTGGGACGTAACCCCGAAGAATGAAGCAATCTGAAACCTTGTGTTACTACAATATCCCAAAATATTTTTCGATTCTTGATATCTCCTCTAAAATTCTTACATCCTATTAGACATTTTCTTGGTTATTCAACTTCAGTCAAAGCTCTATTTATCTTTAAGCTCTCTTACAATTAGTTTCTTTATACCAGTCCTAAAGCTTAATTTGTTATATTCAAATCCCTTCGGAACTCTTATTTAACCTCGAGTTTTCTTGTATAAAGGTATCAAAAGATCGTTTGGGAACTTCAACAGGAACTTGTAGCACGAAAATTCATCAAGAACTAGGTACTTGTTGAAGTACAATGACATCATTAATGTTCTATTGGTGCTATTTTACATTGACTATCATTGACTGAATTCGATTTTTAACGAAAATCATCTTTCTTTTAAAGTTTGTCTTATATGGAATCATAACTTTCTCTAGGTATTAAAGAATTGACACTACTTCCTGATAAGCAGTAAAAAAAAGTAATCTTTAAGTCTATGAAAGCTTGGTTGTTATGCTAGCAATTGAAGCATTTCATATGTTAATCCATATGTAAAAGGATAAGCAGTGATATTAAATCAAGGGCACCTAATGATTATTCAATTTCAAGAACATGGTTTATCCAATATATCACTCTCAACAAACTACTCCAGCACCTTGCTAAATATTCTACCATTTTTTTCATATTATGTATCGCATACAAATAACTAATCTTTTGATAGAAGCTTTTTTCACATAGCTTATACAAAGTTATAATCTTGTGCTACCTTCTGCTATAAGTTTTTATTTTATTGGTAAAAATTTCTCTGGATTTAAAGAATCTTACGACAGAGATAAAGATTCACAACGGATGTAGAGTGGCCGGAAAGGGGTGAGCGGTAGGTGTTATGGGGTGACAAAATTGTGAGAATGGTCTATGTGGTATGTCAAAACTAGCAAGTTTGGTCCAAAAAAGTTTGGGCTCGCAAGGATGATCCAATAGTTTCGTTTTGTTGCGAGTTTGGTCTAGTTTGGTTTAAACTTTTTTTTATCGACGGCGTTGCCCCTTATTATTTTATTTTCCATTTTTGTTTTATTACAATAATTAAAACCCTATTAAAAATAAAACAAAAATAAAATACCTCTCTCTCTCTCTCTCCCTCTCTCTTACTTCACAGGAAAAGGAAAGAGAGCCGGAAACACTCTTGTCGACTGTCCAACCCCTCTTCCTCCTTATTTGATAATTACAACCTCAAACACCTTGATTCTATCTTATTCCTCATCGAATTCACACATGTGTCTCCATATTTCCTTCTTCTTCAGGTGAATCATGAGCTTTTTTGGTTCATAAATGAACTCACACACACAAATCGATTTTTAAAAACAAAAACTGCCCCTTTCCCCTTGTAGGCAGATCGACTTAGAGCTTTTGTTATCCTCAATCGAGCGGTGACTACGACATTGGGGTTTCAGATATGTTGTTCTTCGGTGTTACGGAAACGAAACCCTAATCAAAGCCAGGTAGTGGCAGCGAAACCCTTATCCAAGCTAGGGTTCGTTGTGGCTCTAGCGACCTCGAGCTTTATTTCTAGCGTTCTCTGAAACTGTGAGATCAACTGCAAAACCCTAATCCGAGCAGGGATGAAATGCTAGATTTTTGTTGAAAATGACCACCACTGTAGTTCATCTTCGTATACATCATCTTCTTGGACATGAATTCGTGTAGTTCATCTTCGTGTTCATCTTTGAAACCCTAATCCGACGGTGGTTTTGGGTAGGACATGAATTCGAGTTTAAGGGAGGTAGAAGGATTACCTTTCGATCGACTTTCTGCTAAAACGGAGGGGGTTGATGGTGGCGGCATTTGTTAGCTCCGTTTGCGGTTGTTTTTGTCGCGATTTGAAAGAGCTGGACAAGAGAGGTGTTTGTGGTGGTGTAGGGCAGTAGGTGGCGGCGGGAACGGGCTGGAAACGACAACGAAAAAGGCGGTGGTAACCGGTTTTTTCTGGTTGCTTTTTCTCGACAGTTTGAGCTTCTGTCAGAGGCTATTTTGGTCTCGATTGGCAGCAACAGCGAACAACAAGGCAGTAGGGTGTTTGGGGCTGCAATTATCGAAAAAAGTAGGAGGAAGAGGGGTTGGACAGTCGACAAGAGTGTTGCCAGCTCTCTTTCCTTTTCCGGGGAAGTAATAACAAGAGAGAGAGAGGTATTTTATTTTTGTTTTATTTTTAATAGTTTTTTAATTGTTGTAATAAAATAAAAATGGAAAATAAAATAATAAGGGGAAAAATCGTCAATATAAAAAAGTTCAAACCAAATTGGACCAAACTCGCAACAAAACCAAACTATTTGAGCATCCTTGCAAGCCCAAATTTTTTTGAACCAAACTTGCTAGTTTTGAAATACCACCATAGGGAGCATTATGCAATTTTGTCTCATGGGGTTTTGTGGGTGTTATATTATCGGATTACAATTTTTTAGTAATTAAATTTTAAAAGACTACTCATTTGTAAATATTTTTCAAAAGTACAAATCACAAATTCTATCCAAAATAGTCAAGAGTTAAAAGAAAAGGAAAGTGATAATTATGCAAGAAAACATAAAACGACTAATTTTTAGACTTGCCAACCATAAGATCTTCTTGGTCATCTTGCAAAATTTTCATCATTCCTTTCGACTCTATATTTGCTGATTTCAAACACGATACTTGGAAAATATGGGTATTTGAGAATACTTTTTAAATGATTTTTGTCTTTTAACTTTTCTAAAAAGTTATAAAGATGTTTGGAAGATGTAAAAGTTCTTTTCAAAATAACTTTTTGTAAAGAAGAAAAGAGTGGGTTTTCAAAAGTCAAGAAAGTGTGACTTTTTGTAACTTTTGGACTTTTAAAACTAAATCACACTCAAAAGTCAAAAAATACTATCCAAACACTTTTTAAAACCCACTTTTGGCTTTTGTTTCCTCAAAAGAACTTTTACAAAAAGAAGTTTTAGGCTTAAAAAGTAATCCCAAACACCCCCGAATCGTTAGTAAGTTGAATTTTGAGTTTCGTTAACCGAAACAAGGATATATAGTTTACACAAAACTGAAAGATGTATTCTATTAAGGCATGTTCACACACATGTATATTTTAGAAAAATCGGTCCCTAGAATCCACTATATCATGGAGGTAGGTGGCAGCTTCCAACCCGAGGGCAGGAAATGCTCCACCCATCCCCCAACATGCTTTGAACTATTTCATATAGGATGCTACCAACAAAAGCAATTTAAGGTGAACAATGGAACACAAAATGAACCTAGTCGATTCACCTATGGGTATACTATATCAGGAAGATATGATGCTATCGATAATGTTGTCACAAGAGCGGATATTTCACAACAACGGTTTATCCTTATTACAACAAAATAAAAGCCATAGATTGTAAAAAATTATTTAGCAAAGCATGATTAAAAAAATACAAAATCCGACTGTAATTATTAATTAATTTAAATTTGTGAAACATACTATTTGCTGAGCGTCCTTAATACCATCCCAAGCAAATATGACTCGATCTAGATAAAAAATTTGGTTGTTTAGCATGTCACGTTGTCTTTCGTACCTGACAAGAATGAGTACTAAAGGTTTTCAACTAATAACTGCGTAAATAATATTTAAGAAAGTAGTTTGTATGAAATGAAAAGCTATTAAGGTATTTTAAAGTTGTTCTCAAATTTTTCTAATTATTATTTTCTAGATATGTGTTCAAATGAAAATTCAATCCTCATGTGCCTCAATTTGCAACAGAGATAACACTTGCTAAAGATGAAATAACATACCATCTTGTCTCCTTGATAAGTCTCTTTTTCCGAAATTCCATAACTTGTTGAGCCAGACCAGGACCCGTTTTTCCGATTTTGTTTTTACATTGAGCAGGTTTTTCCTTAAATTGCTTGATTGACTTATTCCCTGTCTCAACTCTTTTATTGATCTGGATAAGCAATAAAAAGTAATCAGATATAGTTAGAACAGAATATTGTATATGATCAAGATAGATCTTAAGAATTATTCAAAAATAAGATTCACAGCGACAGCCACTTAATCAGCAGGGAAAGTAATACAGCCTCAAACAGCTCCAACATATATAATCTATCAAATTCAAATTTAATTGATCACATATTAGTTTCAAAGAATTGCTTTTCTAACTAACAATCCATGATCAATCATGGTTTCTTGATGAGTTTTAAGGAGAAAAAATAGAACTATTTCTTGCATCTCCCATGCATGCTTTTGGTCTCATGAAACACCCCTTAGTCTATTCCAATTACCTAATTCTTTCGGATTTCATTATGCGTTTAACCAATATATATAATCCAAATAGGCAAATACTATGATTAGAAACGAATACAAAATTTCCCCCAAATCATATTCGATTGTGTTATGCTATAACCCATCAGATGTTCTTTGACTTCCAAATTGAAGCATTGGTTGGTGATTGAAACAGAATTTTGGTATGATGAAATTATAAAACAGACCATTGAAATGATTAATTGTAACAATAAAAAACCAGATTAAAAATATTCCATCTCGATGTAAAAAGAAGTTTTATCGAATTTTTGTTATTAATTTATATATTAAAAAATACAATTTGCAGATAGAGAGAAAAAAATACCCGTTCCCTTACACCCAACAGTGTCTTCATCTCGTTTACTGCTGTTACCACAAATCAAACATAGTCAACCACAATATTACTAATCAACCGAGGAGTAGAAAATGGTAAGAAATTTTATTAAGATATAAAGAACTTGACAGAGGTTTGTATAGCATCACTAAGAAGATAACATATATAACAAGTAGTCGTAAGGTAGAACATTACGGAGATTAAAATTTTAACAAATTGCCCTTACACAAAATAATACAAAACAACGCGAGATAAAAGATATTTCTTCAAAAATAACCAAGTTTATTAACACAGGTTGATTAGGAATAAATAAATTTAAACAAATCATAAGACAAGACCGACAAGTTGCCAAAGCCAATAATATAACGAGTAATACAAAAAATTACCAATAGTTTGTATTGATAATTTTTTCCAGAATCATTGGAGCTTTATACTTTTTTTATTTCGCTGTTTTGATGTATGAGCTTTATACTTTTTTTTATTTAAGCGAGATATGAAGGATTGGTTATTTCTCGTTATTTCTGGGTTTTAGTATTAATTAGTGTTAGCTTTTGCACTGAAAGGTTATCTTGAGCGTCTCGCGAATAACAGTCATCTTATATATGTTATAGACTTCGTGAAAATCTTTAACTTGGCCATGTCAAACATGCATGCTACAAATTTCGATTACCAGGTGCTCTAATGCTCACGTCGTCGTGCACGTATTGTGTGACTTTCAACGATGGCAATAATCATGAATGGAAAAATATTACGCCGTTCATACAGAATAAACGAGAAAAAATGAAAGCAGAAAAGCAATGTCATAAATTGAACGAGGAAGAAAAAATAAAACCTGAATCGGGCGACGCTACAAGTCTAATGCTTCAAGAAAATCGTCTGACGATGAAGGATTAATAGCCTGTCCTTCCAAATCACTCCCGTGCTTTCATCCAGAATTTTTAAAATCTTGTTATATTGTGATAAAATTATATCTTAAATTAAAGGGATAATGATATTCTAAAGACTAAACTGCACAAATGGTGCATGTAGTTCGCTGAAAATTGCCACTTTGGTCCAAAAATGATTGGACTAGCACCACAGGTCCAAAGTTTTTATTTTGTTGTGAGTTTAGTCCGATTTACTTTAAACTTTTTTGAAATGACGATTTTACCCTTGTTTTTGCTTTTTCAGTTTATTTATTTATTTAAATATTTGTATGATTAAAAAAATAAAAAATCTCTCTCTCTCTCTCTCTCTCTCTCTCTCTCTCTCTCTCTCTCTCTCTCTCTCTCTCTCTCTCTCTCTCTCTCTCTCTCTCTCTCTCTCTCTCTCTCTCGACAATAGAGAAGTTCAAAAAATTTGTTCCATTTTTTGCTCTCTTGGATTTGTAATTACTTCGTGTTAATAATACAGAAGAAAAAGGAAGTAGCAAATGTCATCAAATCATAAAAGCTTTGTAGGTGAAAACCATTCAAGAAATCTTTCAAACAAAACATAGAAATTTTTCGTTTTTTCTGAAACACACACACTCCAAAATTATGTATCTGTTCTTCAACACACAAATGAACCCAGATTTTGAATAAACCCCAGACAAGATTTTTGATTTTGAAAAAAAAAACTATAAATGATTACTCATGAACACATACTCCATGAGCACCTCCAAATCCATGATCCCAACTGTCGGTTGATGCGTTTTGGTATCCCCATCAATGGAAGAACAAGCTTCACATACTTCCCCTAAATCTTCGCTATCATCAGAAAACGTTGTCATCGTCGGTGATTCAGAACTCCACGACGGCAACGTACATCGGTGAAGATTTGGATGTCTCCTTCGTCTCTCTCCTTCGATTCTGAACACAAGATGAGGACATGGTTGCAGATCTGTAAGGAGGGAAGCAGATCTAGGTGGGTATTGCAGATCTGTAAGGAGGGAGGCAGATCTAGGGTTTGCTGAGGAAGATCGTGGCGTCATTGTTCATGAAAATGAAACTTCCGATCTCCTCACCCCTTAATTTGGTTTTGCTGATAAAACACGAGGGTAACATAGATGGAGTTGAACGGTTTTTGCTTTTGGGTTGCTAATTTCTTGAGAAATCTGGTTTTGTTGAACAAAAAACCCAATTTATGTGGGTTCATTCCACCATGGTCGATTTCTTGATAATTTTGGCAAAAAAAAATCCAGATTTCTTGAATATCTTTTTTAAACCAGAGGGTTTTATGGGAGATACTACTGGAGGCAGAAGGTATGTGGGGCGGGGGGGGATGTTGGAGATGACGGGCTATAGATTTCATCGTTGCAATTGAAGGTGATGGTGGTGTTCCACTGGTTTAGTGTTCTTTGGGGTTTAGAGAGAGAGAGAGAGAGAGAGAGAGAGAGGTATTTTTTATTTTTTTTAATCATACGAATATTTAAATTTAAATAAATAAATAAATTGAAAAAGCAAAAGCAAGGGTAAAATCGTCATTTCAAAAAAGTTTAAAGTAAATCGGACCAAACTCGCAACAAAATGAAAACTTTGGACCTGTGGTGCTAGTCCAAACCTTTTTGGACCAAAGTGGCAAATTTCAGCAAACCACAGGGACCATTTGTGCAGTTTAGTCTATTCTAAATTAAGGTTTTAATCGGTTTTTGGGATTACTAATTTAAAATGCTTATTAATTTATCATGTGGTTTTAAGTAGGGATACTATTCCGGACGGAACCGAACCGAACCCGAATAACCTGAAAACCTAATAAGGGTAATTGCATGAACCGATTAACCAATACGGATTCGGTTCGGTTCGGGTATTAATCGATTCAGTTCTGTTATTATCCGAATAACATGTACAAGATGATTAACGACTTAATATAACCGAAATAAAATAACCGAATAAACCGTATTAGGATTCCATAACCTGAATAATAGAATAATAATGTAGTTTTATACATCAACATAAAACCTTGAAAGACTAACATAACACAATAACATATTGAAAGAATAACATTTATATAGTAGATTAACATAATGAGAATTAATTTTTTACTTGAGTTTCTTGAAATGGAGCCTAATTTTCTATGACTAGACAAAGTAGGTTCGTGAATCCTTAGAGACAATTGGAAGGGTCGATTTTTGAAAGTTTGAAACAAGAGGAAGGATCGACAAAAGAGATTTCAATTTTGAAAAAAAAGAATTTGGAAATAGATGAGAAGATTGGTCGATTTTGAAACGACGAGAACAAGTGTAGGTTTTTTTTTTTTTTTTTTGTTATGAACAACAAGGACAAAAATATGAATCATGATTTTGATTTCTGTCGATGAGAAAAAGGGGAGGAGGAATGTTTATTCGGGTCGGGTATTTAGAACCGAATAAGCTCTTATTTGGGTGACTCGAACCGAATAAGCATAATATAGATATCCGAAACCCGAATCGAATTGCTTATTCGGGCCTAATTCGGTTCGGTTCGGGTTTTTCGGCCCAAATTCTCATCCCTAGTTTTAAGTGTCTGAATATAGAAAATAATTAAAAAGGTTTATTATCTTAAATAATGAATTTTTGATAAGTTTTTTTTATTTATTTTTATTTTTTTTATTTTTGTATATTTGAAACTAGACCGCATGTTGCTTAGACTATAATGATATTAGGTTATAACCCGTGGATACCACGGATGATAAAGTTAAAATAATTTTATTTAAATTATAGCTTAATTATTGAGCAATGATAATATAAAATTTAATAAGTAATAAATATAGATGTTTTGCCAGTAATTTCATAATGATATAATGATCGTTTGAAATTACGAAAGCATAGTTGTTTGAATATTCGATCGGCAATTTGTATTTGTAGATATGTTATAAAATTATCATTTTGTAGAACGCAATATTAATTTAAATAAAACATAAACAGAAATTGATATAAATAATAAAATTGTACAAATTTTTTATAAATTTCTAAAAACTTCTTTATACACAACATTTGATGTTTTATTTGTTAGTCTTTTTTTTAACGGTCAGTTAGTGGTTAAATGTTAAATTCATCAAGTTAGTCAGTTCGCATATGTCCGGGTTTCAACCTGGGACCTCCTGTCTAAGAGGCTTCCACCTCTACCAAGTGGGCTAGTCCTACATTGACTTATTTGTTATTCTACCATCATTATTTAAAATTAATAATTTTAATCCTTCTTTACTTTGAGGGGTTGATGTGCTAGAAGTTATTTTGGATTTTCTATTATCCAAATATAACTTTCTATTTTTTTCTCCTCCCTCTAACATTGGTAGAGTTTATAGTGTTATTTGAACCTGTAAAATAATAGTAAAAAATTTAAGGACATCTTTTGGTATAAAGTTAAAGATTTTATATTATTGTAAAAATTCTATAATTTTTAAATAATAATGAGCAATAGATTTAAAATAAATAAAGAAAACATTACATATGTAAAATAAAGTATGAAAATCATTGTATTTGCTAAAGTGAATACTATGTGTGGTAGGTATACGTTGAGACGATGAATAATGAAAAATAAAAAATTAAAGTTAAAAACAAGAGCTTATTCGGTTCTAAATATTTGACACGAATTCGGTCGGAATATGCAATTCGATTCGGGTTTCGGTTCTAAATACTCGACCCGAAATAAGTACCGTATTTTTCATTATTTTTACTTTCGATTATCCAAGTATAACTTTCTATTTTTTCTTGTCTTTTAGCTTCTGTGGCATCCATGTTCTTATTTGATAAATAATGAAAAATAAAAAAGTAAAGTTAAAAATATAATTATTAATTTCAAAGTAAAGGTTACACACGATTGTTATCTCCTGTAATTCGAATAAACTTCAATTGAATAATTGAATAATAATCAAATAGTGTAATAGCCCAAAAACCAAGATCAATTTTTTTTTTATTTTAATTAAACACAAAAGTTACACTCATCACATTGTTCCAAAACCATTCAATAATAATAATGTCAAATCATCAGAGTAAAATGTCAAAATACGGAAAACTAGTGAGGAGTGAATGTTGCGCCATTAAGTCGGACCCTTCCCCTTAGTACCGGAAGTACCAGAAACCACAATTATAAACTATAAGCAACAGCCTAGTGAGTTTCCCAATCATATCACATATTAAAAGAAAACATGTAAGTGTCATGGGCTACCCCCATGGTCTTTTTCACACAATGTCGAGGGCCAAATCTTGGTCTTACATATGATTGTCATGGGCTACCCCCATGGTCTTTCCTTGCGATGTCGATGGTCAAATCCCGGTCTTACACTCAAGTGCCATGGGCTACCCCCATGGTCTTCCATACAATTATCACAAAAGTCAACAACATTCTACGTAATAAGAAATTGGCCGACATTGGTGCTTTCGACCCATGAACATGGTGAGAAGACTCACCTCAACTGCTGTAATCCCAAACAAACACTCAGGCTGCTAGGTTGGATAAATTCTTGTGCTAACTAAACAATTAAGGTCCCAAAACAATTGGGGAAAAATCTGGACTAAGAATTACGACATAAGACTAATGTCCAAAGCGAGATGGGCCAAACTAGACCTAAAGCCCAATAAAATCCTAGCCCCAACCAAGTATCAACTAAGGCCCACAATGAGTCCAACAGCTGGAGTGGCCCATCGAAAAAACGTCTAAGGCTCAAACCCATCAAAACAAGTCCATCGATTTGGACCCAAAACACAAATCCACCTGATTTGGGCCGTACGCTCGGCGTACACAATGGTACGTGCAACGTGCAAGGTTGAAGCGGGAATCGCGACCAAGTAGGCAATACGCGTGGCGTACAGGAATTACTCACGGCGTACGCTGCCCCCATGCAAGCCATGCAAAGACTTCTTAATCACTTAAGACCAAACGACTAAAACTAAGATATGGACCCCTTAAGACCAATAAGGCCATAAAGTTGCAAACTTTATGCCTTTGGGTGGATACAAAGAGCCTAAACTCTAAAACCTAGCTTATGTTACCCAAATCTACACTCAAGCACATGAATGGGACTCAACAAGACTCAAGCTTGCACCTTTATGATATAAAACGACTAGAAGCATCTTTAAATACAACTTAGAGGCTTAGGAGTAGCTCATACTCACCAAGATCTAAACTTTAGGGACAAAAGGAAGAAACTAGCCTCATAATAGAACTTAATGAAACACAACCAAAGTTTGGAGCTTTATACCTTCTAGTGGTACAAAATTAAGGGGAGATGCTAGATCCAAATATTGAGGGAAAAGCTTCCTTCTTGAAGAACCTTCTTCACAACCAAAAGCACACACTATCACTCAAAAAGCTCCAAAAGCTCAAAATGCACTAGGGTTTGCTAAGAGGGCCGAGAAAGGGAATGGAGGTTGAGGTAGGGGAGGGTCTTGGGCCATAATGAGGTCTAGATAGTGCACAAACCATAATTATTAGGGCTTTGGTCTGAGCCACGTATGCCCTACGTACTGGAGTACACGCAACATACTCACATGGAGGCCATTACACTAAGCATACAAGGATGTATGCCTCGCATACACGATCAAGGCCAAAATTGCAAGGTTTTAACTTTGGGGACCTAATATGCAATAAAATCAAAACTCAAGGGTTCAAAAGAAAACATGATAAATCTTGGATGTTACAACTCTCCCCCACTTGAACTACACTTTGCCGTCGAAGTCAGCTGTCTCGAATAATTCAGGGTAGTGTTCCCTCATATCGATTTCCGGATCCCACGTCCATTCCAAACCCTTTCGGTGCTGCCATTGCATCTTAACCAGATTCACCACCTGATTACATAAAGACTTAGTCTTCATGTCGAGAATCGCAATCGGCTTCTCCATATAATTCAGGCGCTCATCCACCTGAATATCATCCAACGAAATCATTACCGAATCATCGGCTACACATTTCTGCAACTGAGATACGTGGAAAGTTTTATCGAACTGACTGAGATCATGAGGAAGATCCAGCCGGTATGCAACCCTGCCCACATGGGCAATAATCCTGAAAGCGC